TTCAGTCCTCACTAACCTGGAACTCACTCTGTAGACCAGGCTGGCCTTGAACTCACAGAGATCCTCCTGCCTCTGCCTCCTCAGTGCTGGGATTAAAGGCATGTGCCACCATGCCTGGCTCTGGTTAATTTTGTGTGTCAACTTGACATAAGATAGGGTCATTTAGGAAGAAGGAACTTCAATTGAGGAACTGCCTCCATCAGAGTGGCCCATAGGCAAGTCTGTGTGACGTTTTCTTAGTGGTTGATGTGAGAGGGAGCATTCCATTGTGAGTGGTACTTCCCCTGGGAGGCAGAGGCAGTTCTAGGACAGTCAGGACTGTTACACAGAGAAACCCTGTCTCGGAAGAAAATGGGGGGCAGAGGGCTAGCTGAACAGGAGCTTAGAGAGCAAACCAGTAAGCAGCATTTCTCCAGTCTCTGTTTCAGTTCCTGCTTCCAGGTTCCTGACTTGAGTTCTTGTTCGGACTTCCCTCAATGACAGATTGTAAGTTTTGATAACAAAATAAACCCTTTACGCTTTTGGTCATGGTATTAATCACAGCAACAGAAAGCAAGCCAGGATGTGTACCAATCCCATGCTCATTTTGGAAATTGTTGTAAAACGAAAGAAAGAACCAAGAGCAGTAGATGACTCCATGGATAAAGGTGCCTGTCACCAAACCTGATGGCCTGAGCTTGAGTAATCCCTGGACCCACATGGTAGAAGCACTCACTCCCAACAGTTGCATTCTGACTCCAAATGCACACAATGGCACACACATCCCCCACTAATAATAACTAAAATTAAAAGTAGCATGACTGTGGCCCACCCACTGCTAGGTAACCACACTGGCTCCCAACCCAATCATCCAGCAGGGCTCCATGACTGACTTCGCATCTTCACATGCTGGGACACTTCCAGGAGCTCCATCTCCGTGGGCATGTAGCCCAGCGTCCGCATGCAGTCGCCCAGCTCCCGGTAGCCAATGTAGCCATCCTGGTCAGTGTCAAACTCTTCAAAGGCAGCCTGAAGTTCTATAGGGGTTAGCAGAGGTCAGAACAGGAAGCCAGATTCAGAGTCTCCTTCCACCTCCCAGCAACAATGAGAGATACTCACCCTCCAACTCGTCAGGGCCCAGTTCACGGTCCTGTATAGGAATAAGCCAATGTATCCCCACTTGCCACACTTCCTCCAGCCCCCTCCTCCCAAGTGCACTGTGCAGGGATGGCCCCACCAAAGCAGCTGAAGATGGTGAAATCCTACAGACCCCATGAGCAGAGAGCCACCTTCTCCCTATGCTCTTGGAGCTTCCAATGAGTTCTCTAAGAGGTCTTCTGCGCACTATGCCAGGTGGCCCAAAGCCAACCTTGTCCTGCATTGGCTCCCCTGGTCTGAGGTACAAGAAGCCACAATTCTGCCCTGTCCTGTCTTTCCCAATCTGGGGCACAAGAGGCAGGAGGCCTGAGCATACAGGGTCAAGAAGGGATAAAGAAAAGGAGAGTTAGCCTCAATTCCCCCACCCCTAGACTCCCGACCTTTCCAAAGACGCGGTTGAGCAGGGGCCCATATGTCCTTTGGGCAGCGTCCTGATGAGGGTCAGGACGATGTCGGTGGGAATGTCGGTGAGAGGCTTGACTGGACAGTGCTGAGGATGGCTCATCCTGCCCTGCTCTGGTCTTTGGGGGGTTCTTGCTGCTTCCTGAGGCCTCAGAGCCCTGGCCAGAGGACTGCTTCCCGGAACTGGCCTTCTGGGCCCCGGGCAGCTGCTTCTCCTTCTTGCTCCTTCTTCTAGCCAAGGTGGAGCCCTCAGCAGCACTCCCAGGAGATACAGCTCCTTCAGGGGTCTTCTGGGGGCCAGGAACCAGCTGTGAGCCCTGCTCTGTTGCCATGGAAACAATAAGGGACTCAGTGCCAAGCAGCTCCCTGGAGTGCCCTTGGCTCTCAGGGCCCAGAGAGCTTATGACCCCTCAGGCTTGAGCTCATCACCTGGGATCCAGAGTGAGGGGGATTAGGGTAAATGAGTCAGGCAGCCAGCCTAATTAATCCCTGGCCTCTGCCCCAGGGTGGCCTGGAAGTACCAGGTGGGTCTTGAAAACTCTTCTTAGGAGTGAGGGTCCCAGGACACAACAGCCAGTTCATACTTAAGCTCAACCATGTCTTAACTAGTAGAAGCAGCCAATACTCCTTCTAAGTCTCAGTTTACCCATCTGTGAAATGGAGGCACAGTGCTGCAGAGTTAAGCACTAATCCCAGAGTGTGACATGGCTCAACTTAGTGTAGTAAAGACCAGTGAAAGCCCCTTAGGCAGGAGGAGGAATACTGGGAAAGGCTGAGAGTTGTTACCTTGGTCCCCAGTGGAGTGACATCCTAGTTGGAGCAGAGGACATATGAAACTTTAGAAAAGAGGCCTTGGATGCTGACGGAGGGTGGGGATGACACATGGTGCCCTGAGCCAGAGGAATTCCCAGCAAAGGGTCTCCATTTTCTAACCTAGTTGAGATGGGGGCCCTGGCTGGTGACTTAGCCCTATGGGGCCACGGTTAGGGTTTCCCAGAGAGCAGACCCATGAATGATTGATGCTCCCTCAGCTTGGGTTTCCTGCCTGTCGGCCTCCATATCGCCACTGGGCGCCATGCAGCAGGCACCATCGTGGGGCTGGTTGGTGGCTAGACCTTGGGCAAACAGGCAGAACCCTGCTCCTTCTACCTGGCCTGTATCTCCCAGGTAAGCCAGGCAATGCTACCAGCCCTAAGGGAGGGGCATCTAGGCTCCAAGGCCATTGGGGCTAGAACTCATGGAGGAGATTCTGAGAAGAGGTGGAGGTGGGCAGCCATAGGGAGAGTGGCTGCAACCATGGGTTTCATGCATGATCCAGATACGTTCTGTAGGTAGCTATAGCCAGTCCCTCTCCACCCTCTGCCAGCTGAGGGAGGTAGAGTATGGACAGCAGAAGGCACTTGGGACGCTTGCCTGGGTGTCATCATGTTATGCCCCTCCCCCTGCCCCCCTTCCCTGCCACTTCATTGTCATCATGCGTCCGAGTCCACTTCCTCCTCTGTATAGTAGCTCTAGGGACAAACGGGGCTCCTCTACTAAACTCTGAGGTGCAGGAAAGGAACACAGGCGGCAGTGTAAGACACTGAAGAAGGCCGAGCTGCGCTCAGGACCCAGCCAGCCTGCCAGGGCCTGGAGGCTCACACCTCACTTGGTGTCCTGAGGAAGGCACTACTGGCACATGCCTTCCTGGAATTGTAAACGTTAGAAACCCCAGTATATCAGGATCTTGTGAAGGAATAATCGATTAGTTTTCTTTCTTTTGCTTTCTTCCTGATTTAAGATAATGCCTCATGTATCCCAGGCTGGCTTCAGAACCCCAACTATCAAAGGCTAGCCTTGAACTCCTGACCCTCTCGCTCCACTCTCCAATGTTGGTGTTTCAGGTGTGTACCACTTGTTGCTTTTGTTTGAGAGGAAGTTTTAAAACCCTGTAGTCTAGGCTGGCCTTGAACTCATGACAATTTCCCTGCCTCCACCTCTCAAGTACTGGTATTACCAGCATTGCTTTCTTTAAATGACTCTCAAACCCTGTCTTCTGGAACGCTATGTAAAGGTGCTCCCACACCTTTAATTTGGAGCATCCCTCCCCATTCGTGATGTTTCACTCTAGTACTCTTACCTTAACACAAGACTTGAAGCTGTGGGGAAAAGAGCTGAAGCTGGGCATGAGGTGCATGCACTCCTTGTAATTCCAGCACTCAGAAAACAGAGGCAGGAAGAGCATTTAACCTGCAAGACCAGCCTGGTCTACATAGTGACACCCTGTCTCAAAGAAACAAGAGGCAGGGTCAGGGGGTGTGGCTAAGTTGGTAGAATGCTTGCCAGACATATAGGAGGCCTTGAGTTCAATCCTCTCACTACTGCATAAACTGAACAGAACGGTACATGGCTGAAATCTAAGCACTGGGTAGGTGAATACAGAAGGACCAGGAGTTCAAGGCCATCCTCAGCTCTGTAATGAGACTGAGGTTAGTTTGAGCTACATGAGAGCTTGTCTTAAAAGTTGACTCTCCCAGAGTCATGGCTCCTAGAAGTGATGATGATCCTAACTCCCATCCCAAATTTGTTTTTAACTAATTAAACTTGCTTTTACTTTAAAAAAAAAAAAATTGAAAAACTGGTCTGAAGAGATGAGATGGCTCAGCTGTTAAAGCATTTGCTGCTCTTGCAAAGGAACCAGGTTCAGTTCCCAGCACTTACATAATAGCTCTCAACTGCCATTTAACTCCAGTTCTAGGGGATCCAACACCCCTTTCTGGGCTCCAAAGGTCCCAAAGTGCATAGATATCTACACTCAAATCCACAAAGTAAATATATTTTTTTTTCTTTTTTTGAGACACAGTGTCACTATGTAGCCCTTGGCAGGCCTGGAACTTGCTATGTAGACTGGGCTAGCCTTGAACTCAGAGATTTCCCTGCTTCTGTGTGTCCTAAGTGCCAGAATTAAAGGCATTTTTCACCATGCCTGGCCCCAAAAATAAATCTTAAAAAAAAAAAGTCAAAGCATTTAAAAGGCTAAGACAGAATAATTACCTCAAGTGTGAGGCAATCCAAATCTACACTGCAAGTGCCACACTAGCCAGGATTCCACAGTAAGACCCTGTCTCAAGACAAGGTTTAAGTCTCCCCGACAAACTTGAAACCCTCTGGTTTAGTTCACTAAGGCATGTGGATTCCATGTGGCAAGATGATTAAGTATGGCCTGAGCTGCTGACATATCTGTATGGTCACATAGTGGACAGTCCTCTCCTCACTCGTAAAATTGATTATAGGGTGACTGCATGAGGTTATTTTTTCAACTGCCTGGCATGGGTTAATTACTCAAAAGGTGATAATACTGGACCAGAGAGGGGCAGTGACTGGCATGAGGTACAACTCCATCTCTCTCATACCAAGCCATCACATATTTGTTGATTCAGCAGACTGGCAATCTATGCCCAGCGCTACCCTGAGGACCCAGAATGGACACTGCTCTGGAAGCCAACCTGGGCGCTGCTGGCCACGGTCCCCGCACAGAGCTCAATGATGAGGACTACTACCCTCAGGGCAGTTGGGACACAGTCTTTCTGGTAGCTTTACTGCTCCTGGGACTGCCAGCCAATGGGTTCATGGCATGGCTGGCTGGCTCGCAGGCCCGGCACGGGGCTGGCACGAGACTGGCTCTGCTCCTGCTCAGCCTGGCCCTCTCTGACTTCTTATTCCTGGCAGCAGCAACTTTCCAAATCCTGGAGATACAGCATGGAGGGCACTGGCCACTGGGCACTGCCGCCTGCCGCTTCTACTACTTCCTATGGGGTGTGTCCTACTCTTCCGGCCTCTTCCTATTGACAGCCCTCAGCCTGGACCGATGCTTGCTGGCGCTGTGCCCACGCTGGTACCCAGGGCGCCGCCCAGCCCGTCTACCCCTCTGGGTATGTGCTGGGGTCTGGGTGCTGGCCACACTATTTAGTGTGCCCTGGTTGGTCTTCCCCGAGGCTGCTGTCTGGTGGTACGACTTGGTCATCTGCCTGGACTTCTGGGACAGCGAGGAGCTGCCTCTGCGGATGCTTGAGATCTTGGGGGGCTTCCTGCCCTTCCTCTTGCTGCTGGTCTGCCACGTGCTTACCCAAGCCACTGCTTGCAGGACCTGTTGTGGGCACCAGCCTAGGACTATGGCCCGCCATGGCTTTGCCCGTGTGGCCAAGACCATTCTGTCAGCCTATGTGGTTCTGAGGCTGCCCTACCAGCTTGCACAGTTGCTCTATCTGGCTTTCTTATGGGATGTATACCCTGGCTACCTGCTCTGGGAAGCCCTGGTCTATTCTGACTATCTGATCCTGCTCAACAGCTGCCTGAGCCCTTTCCTGTGTGTGGCAGCCAGTGCTGACCTCCGGGCCCTGCTGCGCACTGTACTTTCCTCCTTTGCAGCTGCTGCCTGTGAGGAATGGCCTGGCAGCTTCATGCCAGCTGAGCCACAGACCCAGGTGGCCTCTGTGGGCCTAACTCCATCAGGACCAACAGCTGAAGGCCAGCCACAATTGGATCCCCTGGTCCAGCCTGAGGTGAGCCCCTCAGTCCAGCCACAGTCAGATTCTGTGGTCCAGCCTGAGGTGAGCCTCTCAATCCAGCCACAGTCAGATTCTGTGGTCCAGCCTAAGGAGGACTCCCTCATCCAGCCACCATTGGATCCTATAGTTCAACTTGAGGCGAACCCTTTTACTCAACCACAGTTGGATTCGATGGGTCAACCTCAAGTGAACCCTTCAGCCCAACCACAGTCAAATTCTGTGGTCCAGGCTCAAGTGGACTCCCTGACCCAGCCACAGTCAAGCACAGAGATCCAGACCCCTGCCTGTGGGGCTGAGTCAGCCTCTAACCCTGGTGAGGAAAGCACCCCCAGCCCAGATCCCATGCCTGGGGCCCCTGAGAACCTAGACAAACCAGCTGTTCCTGAGGGAGAAAGCCCTACCAATGTCACACCAAAAGAGGCCCCCAAAGTAGGCCCCACTTGAGTGACTTGGAAGCCCCGGCCTGCCAGGGCAGTAGAAGAGTCAGAGGAAACCAACGAAGCATCCAGCAGAGAGGTGGGAACATGAAGAAAAGCAGTAGAGAAAAACCCCATCCACTCCCATGAACCTGACAGAGGGCTGAGGAGAAGTGAAACCAGTTAGCCAAAAGTCCCAAATAGGGGGTTGTGTCTCCACCCTGGTTTAGCCAGGCTTTACCATTACTACCACAACACCCACTGCTACTCAGCATCCTTGAACTGCTGAGGATGGTCCTGCTGAGTTCTACCCCTGCCGCCCCCCCCCCCAATCTATGCTTCCCCTCATTGCCTCCATCCTGGTGGAGGAAGACAGCAGAGGGCACTTCCTCTGGCCTTGGTCTGATTGCCCTCTAACCTTTCCCTCATTTTCCCCATTCTTGTCTGGTTCTCTGGCTTGAGCACCTAACTGAAAAGTCCCTGTAGAGAGGGGAGGCTTCCAGGAGCCCACAGCCTAAAGCAGTAACCAGCCAGTTGGCCTGGCATAGCTAAGCTGTCTGAGAAATTCACCTGCCCCCAGCACACAGAGCCTGGGACAGGATTTCCCCAGCCAGGTGCAACCAAGAGTCGGGAGCAATCAGACAAAAGTGAGTAGCAGCCAGATCTGGCTTCAAATCCAGCTCTGCTACACCCTGGCTTGGTAACTGGCCATGCTTTGAGGGCCATATGAGGATTAAAAGGGAAAGTGAATGTGGCATCTGCAGGAGCCTAGCACACAGTGAAATTCTGGGGCACATGGCCTTTTCAGACTTCAGTGACATAGGAAAATGGCCCTTCAGGGGACGGGTCTAGATGACAGGAAGACAGTACCACCATCTGCCTGGAGCACCTGAGATCCTCTGATTGCTAAGGTTGCAGACAAGCCATCTTTGCGCCTTGAGGGTGGGAGTCTCAGAAATCTTCAAGGTCTGACTCCATTCAAGAGCCAAACTAATGTCACCTGCTACCAGCCTACAGGGAGGGTCAGACAGGATCTGGGGGGAGTTTCGGGTGCAGAGTGTGTTGGAGTTTGAACCCCAGGACACAGACAGGAGGCTGGCCAAAGGCAGAGAGCCTTGGGCACCACGGTCCCAGGAAGCTTCGGAAGTCACAGGGCTAAGCCAGTTCTTCCTCCAGATGCAGATGCTGCAAAACAGGAAGTGATGAAAATTGTTTCCCACACTCTCCCCTCCAATCACCCCCTCTTCACCCACCCAGCGTTCTCCTCCTACCCTGTGTTCCCAGATCAGGTCTCTCCCCCCACCCCCATTCTTTCCCATTAGGGAGTGGCTGAGGTGTCCATGACAGTGGTCACTTATGTGAAGCTTTTACCCCCAGAAACTTGCATCATAAAAAGGCAAGGTGACAGGCTGTGCAGGCAGATGGGAGGGGAGCAGTAAGATCTGCATTTTGTTGCAAACTCCTTCTTAATGTCAGTTTTCTGATCTGTAAGATGGGGTAACGTGTTGGGCATGGCTCACTCCTGTAATCAATCCTAGCACTTAGGATACCAAGGCAGGAGTCACATAAGTTCAAGGTCAACCTGGGTTACATAGTGAGACTCTGGGTCAAAAAAAAAAAAAAAAAAAAGCAAGGGCTGGTAGGACTGGAGAGATGGCCCAGAAGCTAAGAGCATATAATATTCTTGTAAAGGACCAAAGTTGGTTCTCAACACCTACATGTGGCAACTTACACACATGAAACTCTGTCTCCAGGGGATCCAATGCCTCCTTCTGACAGGTACACATATAAACTGAATTAAATAAATCTAAAGAAAAGAAAAAAAAGGATGGGCTAAGGATACAACTCACTAGTAGGGTGCCTGCCTAAAACACTCAAGGCCCTGGGCTCAGTTACCAGCATTGCAAAGTAATGGATGGTATGTTCTCTTGCTGCTGATTACAATAGGGTACACACATGAGAATGTCACAGGATGGCCATGAAAGCTTTAAAGCATAATGGTAGCCTGACAGGACCATAGGCACTGTTTTAGTCACTGTTCTGTTGCTGTGAAGAGACACCATGACCAAGGCGACTCTTATAAAAGAAAGTAACTGGGGGCTTGTTTGCAGTTTCAGAGGCTTAATCCATGATCATCATGGCAGGGAGCACCGTGGCAGGCGTGGTGCTGGAGGAGTAGTTGAGAGCTACCTCTCTCTGCAGGCAGAGAGAGTGAACTGGTCATAACATGGGCTTTTGAAACCTCAAAGCCCACCCCAGGGTCACACTTCCTAATCCTTCTAACCCTATTGAGTCCCACTCCCTGGTGACTAAGCATCAAATATATGAGCCTGTGGAGGCATTCTTACTCAACCACCACAGGCAACAAAACCAGTGGGAGAGATATTTCTGAAGCATTTGTTGAATTAACTCACACACACACACACACACACACACACACACACACTTTTTTGGTTTGTTTTTGTTTTTAGAGACAGCATCTCTTTTTGTGTGTAGTGCTGGCTGTCCTGGAACTCACTTTGTAGACCAGGCTGGCCTCAAACTCACAGAGATCTGCCTGCCTCTGCCTCCTAAGTGGTGGAATTAAAGGTGTTGCCGCCACTACCTGGCTCTAACAAATATTTAATGATCATTTAACAGATAGCTTTCTGGCCAGCTTTCCATGTTAGAGACAGATGTTTAGGGTTCAGGGTGTCTCTTAGGGTTGTTAAGCTCTGCCCTTACCACTTATGCATTATGTGGCCTTTGGCAAAGCTCTTAGACTTCAGGGGACCTGCTTTACCCATTTGTAAAATGGTTCTGTGGTAGAGTAAATCTTCAATCACCAGTTTGATATGCTTGGACACTGGCCAGAGCCTCCTAGCAAGTAGCCTGCACCAATTATCCGTCTCCTCACACTACATGGTGCTTCCTCCGCAAGACAGGTTCACTTTCCCTCTACCTCTGTCCATTGGATGGAGTCCAAGTCTCTGAGGGAAGAGCCTGGATTCCTGTTTCCCTTGGGACATTCTGCAGTAACCCTCTCTCTTCTCTTGTGGGGGGTCCCAAAGCCTCCTCAACATCAGATCAGAGAATAAAACTTCCCTGCCTTCAACTGTGGCCCACCCCACTAGTGCTACCTCTTAGGGCATGTGCCAGCCCCACCTGCAAGGTCTGCAAGGGGAGAGCCTCCCATATGGGAGACAGAGCTGCATGCACCCTGGGAATTTTACAGGATAAAGAGTTTTCCTTGTGGCCCACAGAACAGGTTTGTGTTAGAGAAGATGGAACCAGAAAGGGAGACCTCAGTCCCCAAACAGTCCCAGCTCAGGGAACACACCCCAGTGGATTTGTTGCCATCTTGGGGACCCCTTCCTCCAGGTGAGATCCCTGTGGGTTTACCCCCCCCAAGGAACCAGCTGTTGGTTCTGAGGACTGTGAATATGAATATTTTGCAATTTTATATTCAGGCCTGCTGCTCATTTATTCACCCAGCATGAAGTGTTTTTACATAGGGTGCTGGGTGGGGTCTCCTTTTGGGCAACAGAAGGATGGGGTGTGTGTGGGGGGCACAACAAAGTCCTTGTCTTTAGTTTGCTGGCAGGAATCTTAGCAAGGTGCCAAATAATTACACAGCGTAGCATTTGAGACTAAGAACAACAGATGGGAATAAGGAAAAGTCAGACGGTGACTGGGTGAGAAGTGAGCCCAAAGGGCCCTTAAGGGGAGGTGACACCTGAGCAGAGACCTGGAGTCATTGAAGGATGAGGCCTTCCTAAGCCAGGGTATGCTAGCCTGAGGTGGGAGTGGAGGTTTGGTGTCACTAACGTGCTGAGAGAGGCTAGTGGTGGGTGTCCTGGGATAGTTGGCAGGGGTCAGACAGGAATTCTGGGAAAGGAACATGGGAGCTGTATTTTTATTTGAAGTGGGGTGATGTGGGAGTGGGGGGTTATATGGAACCCTAGCCCCCTGGCCTGATGTGGACTTCCCACAGAACCCCAGCTACCCAAGTCAAGCCACACTCCGGCTGCCTGGCTCCATGGTTTATGAACAGTGAGAACTCCAAAGTCTTCGGAAAGAACAAACTAAGACTGAATCCCAATTGGGAGGCCTTAATCAAGCCATATCCTTTCCTGTTTTTTCACAGAGTGTGGAGACCACTGAAATGGGACACAAGTCCACGTACCCTCCCACACACAGTGGGTGGATTCATGCAGGGTAAACAAAGCACTTCTTACCTCGGGCTCTTGCCTCCTCCCATGCCCCTGTTCTTTTCCTGGAAAAGATATCCACATATCACCGCTGGTCACCCAGGGAGGGGGACACAGAGGAAGGAATGCTACCTTGTGAATCCTAAGGGACACCTAAGTCCTCCAGGATGTGACAAGATAGGGTGAATCTCAGGCAAATCCAGGCTCTGATGAGATGGAGTGAAGACAGTAAGGTGCACGGGCCCCTAGGTCATCTACTTTGATTTTCACTAAGCCCAAGCAGGAGCCATCAGGGTGTACGATGGACTTCCACTTCTTCAATTTACATAGTCAACTGACATCACGCACTCCCGACCTTGAAACTGGCTGGGTGTGGTGGCATATGCCTTTAATAGCAGCACTTAAGAGGCAAATGCAGGCAGGCAGATTTCTGTGAGTTCTGTGCCAGTTCCAGGCCAGCCAAGTGTGCATAGTAAGATCCTGTCTCAAACACAAAACAAACACACGTGAAAATGTTGGAGGCGGAGCGAGAGGATCCTGGCCGGTGGAAATGAGTAGGGAAATCGGTGGCCAAGTTTCACTCTTCCAGGCCAGGAGATTCTTAAGGCTGGCTGTACCTGTGAGGTAGTTCCAACCACTCGCTCTGTCTAACTGCTTGCTGAGGGCCTAGCGATCAGGCCTCGCCCCATGGGCGGGGCATTATAAAGCTCCGCCTTTTGCGCGTGACTTTGCCCCGCCCCCGTCCCACTCCTCTGTCACTTCCTGACTCCCGCTTCCTGCTTCCCAGAGGTCGGGATCCGGAGCCGCCCGAGGTCGCCGCCGCAGTCCCCGGCGCTCC